ATATATATATACATATATATATATGGATATTAGATATTATATAATCAATACTATCATATACTTGTATGCTATATACTTATATATAAATGATCTAAAAAAGAAATTATGAGAATTTTCCGATTGTATGTACATATATGCATATACATGCATATTTTTCATTGTTAATTACGTTAAGATTTTGTAAAATGTACAAAATATTGCATATTATATTCTGGACAATATTGATATGATTAAAAAAGTAACATTTTTTAGATTATTATTAAGAAGTCATTATGTCATACTGATAAATTTCTAGATATTGACTCTTATTGTTAGATTATGTTAAATTTTACATATTGTATTAGATAATATAATTATTCCCATGTTTTAAAAAAGATGAAGTTGCACATTATAGTAGCATGTGTACAGACATAGAATAAAAGATCTGACACATTAAATTGCGCGCATGTCAATTTGACCATCGGTTATATGTAGAGTGCAAATTTCTTGCAGCTCATCCTCGCATTCACATGCAAATGTGAATAATCCATATTCCGTTTCAGATGGTTGTTCAATTTTTTTTTTACCTAACCAAGTGGTGAAACAGCCAATACAATCGTCGTCCAATGAGAAACGAGGTGACCGTTTCGATACGGGGCAACTCGTTTGAAATCTCACAGTAAATTCGTTTCTCCAACATCTGCGCGGCGATGATTGGATGGCGGATTGTTCGATAAAGCGGCGATCGACGTTAGCATCCAACTCGGATGGAGGACGAATGAAACCGAGAGAGAGTAGCAAAAGAATGACTTCCTCTTTCGCGGTTTGTTCGCGCTGAAATAGAGCGATTTTGTTCTTATAAAGGCTAGTTAAAATGCAGATTCTATCAGTCGCTTCGAATGAAGACATACCTCGCGTGCATCGTGACTGACGCGCGTGCGGCTTTTATATAAAATTGTCTTCAAAGGAAATAGAATTTTAACGAAATTGAAGGGTATCAATAAAAGACGGTGTCGATACAGACGACGCCACAGTTTCCTTTGATCAATTTTCTCAGTATTACGCGGACTTAGTACAGGAATGTAATAAAGAATATATTGAGTATAGCTGGTGTACAAAATTCATTATCATATATTTAATGAATAAATATTTAGTGACTACGATACAAGATGTTCTGTTAGTACATTTCGCGAATATGAATATTATAATAATTATTAGGTAAATATTTGGTGAATATAACAAAAAGTGATCTATTGATATGCGAATAAAATTCATCATAATGTCTGATGAATAAAACAGAAAGCTATATTTCTGACAAGTTATAATCTATACGATGCCGCATCTGCTTATCGATTCCGCAGCTGCTCACCATTTCCCATGGATGTCCCGTATAACGAGACGCATTTGTTTATCGCTCACGAACGACATTTTAATTTCCCAACCATTTGTAATAGAGGTCGTTACGAATTTGTGCTGCGAGATGTAGATTCAATTAGATACCAATGACAATGCTGAACAGAACAGCGAATGTTCGTGACACTGGGCCGCAGGTGTTTCAAACGACCAACCTCTGTGTTCGGAAATGGTATTTACTACTAGCGATTGGTCGGAATTCACTCGGACGCGCGTTACATCGAACGCGTTTCGAACAATTGCCACAGTACTCTTATTATTGATTTGACCTTTCCTTATAAGAATTTCCTATTATTCACGATAATGAATATTTTTTAAATTAACTGAAGAAAGGACATAAATTGAAATGATTTAAAAAGAATCACGTACGTTGGCGAGATCACTTTTTTTTACGAGCTTAAAAAACAAGAGAAAAAGCAGCTCATCGCCGTCACGACATGCACACTAGACAATTTTACTCGTAGATTCTAGCACTAAAAAGGACTTTAGTTTATCGAGCAACTACATAAAAACCATTTTATTTCGAATACGTGTGAGGTGCTTTTCACACGTTTTTATTTGATATTTAAATATACACGAAAAAGTACTTTTTTTATATAAAAATTTACGAGATTTTTTGGTACCATTTTGAACCTTACCTATATTTGTGAAACACACTCACTCACATCGTTTCATGATTTTTACCGTCACACTAGTTTTTGTGAGTGAACTTACGGACACAATACTGGATGTAGATAGCCGTTACTGTTTATAGTCCTTTAATATGGCTCGTAACTGGGGTGCCAGCCCCAGAGATACATGGAAGTGTCGTCACACTTGTTATTTCCCACCGGAAACACGGCATGCGCGTGTATATAACTGTACAACGTTGTAACACTATTAATCCTTTTAGGATTAGGGTTTACGATATGTCATATATACGTAGTCTGACAACTAAGTTTATATAGATGAAACTTATTTATATTTAAATACAGCTCGTATGTTCATATTAATGTTATCTTTTTCGAAATACGAATCCTTTCGTCTATATATCTATTTCGGTGAGAATTTTAGCATTACAAGTAGTTTTAACACTCTCTAATTAAATATTAATAATAATCAGAATTTAATTGAAATGTTCTTCAATTCATAACACTATATATTTAGAAATAGTACGTGCTATTTTTTTTGTAAATACTTTTTAACTAATATCGTATTTAGAAACAAATGTTAATTTCATACAATAATGCGATTATCATATCGTATGGACATCTGTAGGCTTGTATTGACCTGAATTTTTCATGCATGAAAAAAAATATATGTACAAACCAGCACGACGTGTTTCAAGAAGATCCATAAATTGTGAATAACGGGATGCATTGGAACATTAGGAAAAACTCTGAATTTGTGAAAAAAAATTCTGTCCGTTATGATAAAATGGCCTGTATATCACTTCTGGCTAGCGACGTCATGAAATTCTCTGGATAACCACCGGAGAATTTCATTTTGTCAAATAAAACTTGTCCGTGGACAGTTTTGCCGGACATAGAAGTGAGTAGAGGAAAACCGCAGGAATTCCGTTATTAATCTTTTTCAGAGACGCGGAATGCGTTTTTTAAATCGTGCTACGCGCTATTTTCAAATATGCTATGCACATTTCCGCGATAGCATATTTTCAACTTAGCTCAAATTCTATTAAAATAAAATTCGGACTTAACACCTTCCGTTCTCTTTACAGCGCTTTCCTCCTTAATTTGTAAATTAAACGTTTGCTTAACTATTAATTATAATAAATAAAATTCCAAGAGAGAAGAAAAAACATTAAGACGATTTTCTATAGTATTGCACAACAACATATGTTTACAAATTAATAGCAATGTTAGAGAATATCATTGCAAAATTGATCGCAGATATTTACGTATTCATGTATCCTAAGAGTGCGCGGTTAATATTTTTATTTGACTTTCGAATTTATCTTCATGAAAAACTTGAACAGATAAATTTGCTTTTCGAAACTCTTCAATGAACCGCGCGAAACTTGCTCATACTCGGACTCGCTTTTCGATGCGATTAGATTGGTTGGAAATGTAACTCTCTCGAAAGAGCAAAACTCCTTCGAGACTCTCGAGATTTCAAAAACGATCTTGTTACTTCTTTAATTATAGTTTTTGCAATAAAATTAAAGATTCTAATTAGTTACCTTCACTTCAATTTAAAATAATAAAATCTATATATATTTAAATTGTAAGTTTTTTTATATTTTATTTTGTTAAATTTTATTTTGTCTAGTTTTATTTCTTTCTTGCTACTCTATTTTTTATAAGTAATATCTTTTAGTATATATATACATAAATAAATTTAATTGCTTGATGAAATAAAAAAGATTAATGCCTTTGTGTTGAAAAAAAGAATTTTTTCTGCAAGAAAAAAGCAATCGACCTTCTGCACAAAATACGTAAGTTATTGTTTGGTTTATTTTGGAATATATATTTTATAATGTATATATGTATACAAATCTATAATCTTTTAATTAATATTATATAACCAACATTGATGATGATGATGATGATGGTGATAATTCTAACAGTAGTGTGTACGTTACTAATTGTTCCAATTGTGTATTTCATTAAGAAATGTTGCTCGAAGTATACCGCGAATTTGCTTATTATCTTGCTACTCTTCAAACCTTAAGTTTTAGTACGACGATGAACGAAAGGGCAACGAACAAAATTGAAACAGAAAGATAAATCGGACTTCAAAGTATCTTTTCAACTCGCGGAAAGCAGCTCAAATACGATGAGCATGATAGAAGTAAAGGAGAAAATGGTAAATTGGCGCCGAGATAGAAGTAGTATTAATTTCTCCGAAGCACGGAGATTCTGCCACATCTACCTCTGTCTACTCCAAAATCTTATTTTTTTCTTTGTCCACTTCATAACGTCTGCAATAACGCAGCCAGTTTTACTAGACTCGAGAGAGAGATGAAACTGTCTTTTATTAAACTCTAAATATTCACAGAGAAAGTAAATTCTTGATTGTCAAGGAATTAAAAATATACAAATACTAAATTAGTAGTCTGACAATTAAATATGTAAACATATCTTTCTCAGTTAATGTGGAAAGTTAATTAATTTGAAAATACAATAAAATATGATTAATCTCTCATCTTAAATATATAAGTAAGTACATTTTGTTCCGATAACGTGTAAATAATGTTTTAATTGTTAATACTTCCGCGGGTACTTTTTGTAGAAGTTATGCATTTCACGTGTTATCTCCATATTCAGATCCATTATTAGAATGCCAACGTTTCGTGAATATTGCAATTCACTTCATCAGAACGAGGCAGCCTGATACGTTTTAATTATTTATTTAATAAGAATCTTTTTAACTGAAAATATTAAATAATATTTGCAAAAATGTTGACAAATTATTTAGTATTCCAAATCTTTTAAAAAACATTTGTTTAATTTTATAATTGTAAAGATAATCTCAAATATATAAATTTATCATTTATCTATTAATTCTGGCCTAGGTTTTATTATTAAATAATTAGTGATCATAGTAGTACAATTTAATATATTCCAAGAAAAAGACATACATATATATGTTTTCTCTTTATTTTATAGGCGCGGTAGGCGGCGAAGGAGGTGACGAGGATGATAAGGAGAAGGAAGAGGAGGCTGAGAGAGAGAGGCAGGAGGCTATCAGGGAGGCCGAAGAGCGAAGAAAGGAGAAACATCGCAAAATGGAAGAAGAACGAGAGAAGATGCGGCAAGAGATCAGAGATAAGGTCAGCAATGTCGATTTTGCTTTTGTGTTTTCATCTAAAAAGTTTTTGCATTTTTTTGGAAATGTCTAATAAGTTCATTTTTCATATATTCATGATCTTTGTCGTTGAAACTCGTCGTTATTCGCGTCGTTATTGTAGAATTTAATACTATTTACATATCAAAATTGCTACTGCTCGATTTTGTCATTTAAATAATTTCAAAGGAATATAATGTTATAAAAAATATTATCCATATGAAATATTTCATTAATTAATTATATTAATTAAAAGACTGCTATAATTTTAGGACATCAGAGTAGGTTTATCTATAAATGTCTTTTTACTAATATTTATGTGTGGCAATATGGTATTTAAAAATTTGTAGAATTGCCATATCGAAAACTGCTTGTTATTTGTAGTTTTTGTCATTAAAACATATTATTTGAAGATATTGTGAATCATATTTTTCAGTTAATTACAAGTGGATTTTGTTCGTGACTATAAATATATCAAAGTACGAGTTTGAATATCGCCACGTGTTTCTCCAGCGTTTTCCACAAGAGTCCTCGATTTCATCTGGGTCATGTCAACGCCGTTGACTCCATCCTGACAGGACAATACATCAGGATTGATAATGGCGCGATCCAACGTGCATTTTACATCTCTTTCGTTCTCTCTCTCTTCCCTGTTCTTCTTTTTATCCACACATTTATTTCCCGCCCAACCGGTGAATGCGTTGGAAGTTTTTTGTGAGATCCCGTCGGCGTATATTGTTCTATCCTGTTTGATCAATGCGTCGACGGATTCTATTTTCTATGTGACTCAACCTGATTGCTTTGTCCTCCAAAAAATGTCAAGTGGGTCGACTGATCGAATCAATTTTAACGAAAACTCAAGAGTTAATATCAATTCTCTTCTTGCACGTCATTAATTCTTGTATTAATATGAGACCAAAATAAATGAGTATGTATAACACTGCATTTTTATTTTTGTAAGGAAATTGTAAAGCTTATTATGAAATAGGAAATTGATGATAGATTTGTATTTCTTTCATCAATATTTGCCCAACTGGGTTAGTAGCGTTGGATTTTACGTGATGTTAATTGGAGTGGAAACGCGATTATCTCGTATGTAAACAGAAAATGATATCGTTGAAGGGACTAAACGCGTAATTCGACATTGTGGGACGTAGTTTGATCTGTGTATGTGGCACATCGACCGCACTACTATAGTGTGTCGTAATTTCACGTGCGGAAATGGTCGCCAAGTGGTTGAATGTTGTAACTATTATCACGGCGGAGTTCGATTGTGGGAGTTCGAATGCGTCTTACAGGGGAACTACACGAAGTGTTAAATTTTGATTTTAATAAAATTTTATATACATAATATAGGTTACATAAAAGGATGAATTTAGAAAATATTAATTATGGCGGAAAAACGGTTGGAAGGCGTGAAATCACCTCTTATAAGTAATACGGGTTTAGCTTTTTTATTGTATCTTAAAAACTATTCGAGATATAAAAAAAATGTTGTATACAAAACTTTTACAATAAAATTATATTCATCCACGTCAATAATATTTTTGAAAAATAAAAAAAAATTGTTTATTAAAAATATTATTGACATACATGAATAGAGGTAATTTTGTTCTAAAGCTTTTGTATAAAACAATTTTTTGATATCTCGAATAGTTTTCGAGATATAATGGAAAAAACTCTCTGAAAACCGCTTTACTACATATAAGGGGTGATTTCATCCCTTCAAACCGTTTTTCCGCAACGGACATTTTCTGAATTCATTTTTTTATATAATCTATATATATACAAAGTTCCATTAAAATCAGAATTTATCACTTCGTGTAAAACGGACATTTTCTGAATTCATTTTTTTATATAATCTATATATATACAAAGTTCCATTAAAATCAGAATTTATCACTTCGTGTATGATTCTTTTGTTAGATCAATTACAATAAATCGGTAGATCAATAATAATCACGTATGCGCTTCAACGAAATCAGATTTAGTGATTTGAGGAACGTTTAATGAATTTATTTTAATGGAAAACGACGAAGTATTAAAAGATATTATTGTGATACAAAAAATTGCGCGAAAAATTAAGATTTTAGAGAAATATAAACATCTAAAAATCAATAATCCTATGAATTTAATCATTTTGAATTATCAAAACTCAATTAAGCGAAATTTAAACTTGAACAAATCTTAAAGAACTTATGAAAAGGTAAAACGGTACTAAAAAGACTAGTTAGAATTGGACAAATGTAATAACGAATAAAGCGAATTTCAGCGGCTTCATTACTCAGCGAAATCTAGATTAAAAAACGTCTTTCAACACGATGGCGTTTTAAGATTCGTTTAGTCCTCGGCGGTTTTATTCGTAAAGCAAGGAAATCTCGACGGAATATAATTAACACTAATGGCTGCTTCATCATAAGCGAAAGAACTACCTTCAAATCCTTTCCGTCTCGGTAGGAACATGATTCTTCGAAAATGAGCGGAAAAGATTGAGACGCGAGAGCCGCGATCTCTCATGAGAATAGAGCATCCACTATTCTCCTAGCATAGTAGTGGAAGAAGCTTTGGCATGGTAATCGCATTGGGTCAAGTCAAATCCGATTTCCTATCTCGACTAATGAACGAAGTGGGACTTTGTTATAGTAAAGTCCTTGCGCAATTTGAAAAATATTCTTTTTATTTTCAAATTGGCTTCAAGAACTTGTCGTGGAAGAAGCAGCATATGTATAATAATATAATATATTATTTGAGCTACTTTGTATACTATATATAGTATATATATGTATATATAAAATATATATTATATAATATATGATATATATTTTATTTTCTTATTAATTTGTCTCAATATATTATTTCATTTATTAGTATAAATATTTACTTTGTTACATTTATCATCATATCAAAACTGTGCAAATTAAATCCATTAATATTTATAAAATGTATTTATATTTGTTTCGCGGTATGTGCGCGATTGCTTTACTGTTGGCAAAAAATATATTTGAGATATATTTTCGAGATTACAAGATAGTTTTAAATCTACAAATACATACTTAGAATAAGTGAATATTTCAAAAAGTACGTTAAAAGAAGTACTGAATCTTTCTCTCATCTTTCATAAGAAATAATGTTACATTTAAAAGTTGACACAATGTTAAATAAATAGAAAGAGAGAGGTGAAAAGTAGAAAAAGAGAAAAAGAGCGAAAAATTTCCAAAGTTCCACTTATCGATCTAATATTGTTTGCATTTCACATTACTCCGAGAAAATATTACACTACATCCAGCACTTTATTTTCTCTGCTCCCCCATTAGCCTTCTGTTTTTTCGTCCTTAAGAACATTTTCAAAGACGAAGAATCGCTAAAGAAATGACATTATTGTACGTTGTTGTGACCATTAATATTATCATCTTGGTTGCAATATTTTTATTTTATTACATATTTTATCGAATGATTAACTATCATTTCCCGTTTACACACAGCTTCTTTATTATCCTTCAACTCTTTTGCACCTTTTTCTTTTGATGGGTACTATTGAAAAAATAATGATGCGAACTATTATTTACAATATTTGATAAAAAGTTTCTACATCGTAATTGAAATATTAGAATTGAAGAGTTCGAAAAGTTTCTTGAACAATTAGAAATATTACTGAAATAAGTGTATCTACAGTGTATTTGCTTTAAAGAAGCATTAATATAACACAAAAATTGAATTTCAAATTAAAATAAATTTATTAGTTTTGTGAACGTATTTATCAAATCATAGTAAGAACATAATTGAACAAATCGATGATGTATATGAAGATGATATGAAGTTATAAATCAATATATAAGAATAATTTATTATCGATCTAGTCTCGATAAAATTTTTAACGCAACCAATGTAAAGCAATCTATGGCTAGCTCCATGTTGGCATTTTCAGTTAATCGAAACGATTGCAAGTTGCGTAGAATCAGGTACAGTCGATTAGTAGCATTCAGTATATCATAAGTCTTTAACGGTTGCGTTAAATAATTTACTTGCGTTATGTGCTAAACCGATGGAGAAATAATGCTGCAACTTTGAGGAAAGCTAAATCCATCGAGATATTGTATTTCGATATCGAAATAAGAAATTAATGGCGTTGAAAATTGTACGTGTAGAAGTCTACTTAAGTAAAATAGGACAGCCATTGTTATAAGTGGCAAGTTCGGCATTAACCGTCATATCGTGGTTAAGATGATTGATCGTTTCTGTTGAACACGCATATCCTAGTAAATGTCGAAGATAATCTCCGAGGAAGGAAGAGGAAGCATCTCAAATTTGACAATGGAGGCGAGAAAAAAGGCAACGATGAAGCGAATTAGGAAGAAAGAAGATTGAACTTAACTGGGGTCAAATTGACTCTAGTAGGGAGTCCCTGCATTCAATATGGCGACTTCCTAATAGAGTCAGGCTGACTCCTTTTAAGACGTTCACCAAATGAGGAACCATCTCGCGAAAGTACCTGGTAGCGTAAGCTTTATAAACAAAGTTAAGACTATTTAAGTTATAAAACATCAGTTAATTTAATGATACGGAGTGTCGTGAACGATTTGCATGTACTGATTTATAGGAAATATGGCATTGGAAGCTGATTTATAGAAAATGTGAATGATCGATTGGATTTGCAACATAATATTAATTCTATCAGTTCAGAAATAATTTTCTTGGAATTTTTATTGTCTGTCTACTCAAGAATTGATTTCTTTTTACACATTTATAGAATTATTTATCAATTAAATTTGTGTTCGCAAATAAAAAATGTTATAAGTATATGTAGATTTTCAAGAAAAGGATCAGACGCAATAAGATACACATCTTTTGAAACCTACTATAACTCTGAATTCCGACAGAGATCTCAGATTCCAATTTCTCCATCGCGGTAATATATCGCAGTAATATGACACCGTATCAGATCTTCTGTTTTTAGCATCGACAAAGTTTATGATGCATATAGGGAATACCAAATACCATAATCTCTTCTTCCAATTTCTCCTTTCGCTTCTACAAACTAATAATGCTTGTAGGTATAACAATAATAATGAATAGATAATCAAAGGAGAAGTGTGGAAGAGGAGAAGTAGAGAAGAAAGTTATACATATGTTAATATTGCTCATAAAATTTTGAAAATATTGATAAAACATTAAATTTTCTAAAAGTCTCTCTCTCTCTCTCTCTCTCTCTCTCTCTCTCGATAAAATATTAAAATATTATTTGTTTAATATAACTCGTTTCATACTATAATATTATCTGTATTCAATATAGTTTGTTTTGTTTGTAATAACTATAATGGTGAAAAAATATTTTTAGATGACTAGTTACATAAGAATGTAGAATACATCGAAACGAGGGCGTGAAAGGACGCAGGCCTCAAAAACGCCGCAGTGCGACTCACTCTGCGGGCTTCGTGAAAGCAACACACTGTACTAATTTCATTAGAATAAGCGATAGCGCAAAACTTCAAACAGTTGTTTATTCATTAATTACTATCAAACAGTTGCAATTATTGTATGTAATACAAATAATTAAATATAATAAATGCTACATAAAATTTAATGTTAATAATAATGATATCTGTAGTTTCAGGAATAAGAATTCTTTACGCACAAGAAATCTTAATTAAAGAACAATTATGCATACCCAATGTAACATCCTGAAAAATATAATTACTATTATTAATATCTATATTATTATATATAATTAATCACTATGATTAATAACTAAAGATTAATTGACAATTATTCACACATTGGTCCTCATTCTCTCTGTTTTGACTTTGGAGAATAAAATATTTTTTAAATTGTCCGATTATTTTTAAAGTAGTTGTGCACGCAAGTTAGATGTAACGCGTGATAAATCGCCGCGCCACTATAATCCGGCGCATAATAATGTTCTCATAATTTCGAACATGAATGGACAGAAGCACACGTACTGACGCAGATGCAAGAGGTGCGCAGACATGTTGCGCGTATATCGAGGAACATTAATTAACGTCAGGATCAGCGCATCAGATTTGACGCTTGCCATGTGAGGTACAGCGCTCGTTTATCCTTGTGCTATCTGTCTCCTCGACATAACGGGTATATTCGTTGAGAGATTGAGAATTTCAAAAAGAATGAGTTCTTGTAAAATATTTAGTCAAAGAATTAAGATTATGAGAGACAAAATAGAATTTTGCTGTATGTCTGCTTTTTAAAAAATTTTTAAAGACTTTTAAAATTCTAGAAATTATTGATATACTAATTAGAATATTAGTCGACATGTTTTTAAAATTGCAATTAATAAAAAATTATTTACATTACAAAGATCAACACGATTTATCATATATTTTTTGTGTACACTTCTTAACATTTTCATTATTTCCTTGTTATTAAAGGATTTTTTGACAAAAAACGATATTGATTCTCCACTTTTTAAAATATTAATATGTTTGGTATAATAAAGAAGTAACTTATTAAATAAATAATTGTTGACTAAATATTGTTTGCATATTAACGAAATGTATATTGCTTGTAATAAAAAATTATTCCTTTTATCGCGCTATTATAAGTTAAGGGAAGGAAATATATCTTATACTAATTATTATAGAGGAAAGTGGGTGAATTGTGCGCACCTAATGGAAATTTAATGTCCTGGAATGATTTTCCAAATTCAAAGCGATGTAAGTATGGAAATAGAAACTATAAACATTCTTCTATCATTACGTATCCTCATATCGAACAGATTTTCATTCAATAAGATTATATTTGGCAAAAAGGAAAAAACGGAAAAGCGAAAAAATTTCTCGCGCGTCGGGTAATTATGCGCAAAGCAAAAGTCATAGGAAATGAATGAATTATGGAATATTGACAAAGAAATCAGAAAATATATTTATTATATTGCAATATAAATATATATTAAATATATTTTAAATATAATGCAAAGAAAAAACGAAAAAATTAGTGCTAGTCATATAGTATATGGCAGATGGGTAATTGTGCGCACTTCAAAAACTATGCTTGCGCATAGTTGCTCGCCGTGACCTGACTCGATATGAAATACGATTACTTCAACATTTCTTAATCAAACTTAATAAATAACAGCTCAAAAGACGCATATAATAACATACTTTAATAACGTATGCAATTTTAAACAAACAAATTAAAAATATGAACTTACCTATTATTTTCTGAATGCTAAAACAACAAGAAAAGATGTAATTTCACTTTTTTATATTTCTCTGGTTAGCAACGTATTTACGTCGTATCTTTTTTAGTTATATCTTAAGAGGACGACCTCCTGCGTAAAAATTTCACTACAGTGATATCTTCATCCATTGGAAAAGTACCAAATCAGAATGCGCACAATTACCCGCTGCGCACAGTTCCCCCACTTTCCTCTATTACTTATAAATTTGTGAAATGATTCTTCTTCAACTAGAAAATACTTCTTTAACTAGAAAATTAAAGTATACTGTGAATTAATTTATATTTAAGCGAACTGATGTAAATAATAACAGGAAGTTATAATAGGCGCGTAAAATATTATCTATACATAAAATACGCTTCACATTACCGATTTCAAATTGTTACGTATTTTCTTGAATCGCAAATATATAATACATATTGTTAAAAAAAATTATTCAACATTTAAATGGTAAATAGTACACATTGTATTAAAAGCTTTAATGAATGTAGGTCGAAAACTATGAAATAGCTCACGTTTCTAAGATATAAACAATTGTGTATGTTAGTAACTGACTTATTATCTCTTCTACGTGTTGCATACGATGTAAAAAGAGAGAACTTTAGATAAGTTACCTATTTGGAAGAATTATAGATCCAATGAGATGATCTCTCATAATGCTCATCCAGGCTGCATTCGGAAACATCATCCGGGTGCTCCCGTGTATCATCTTATCCTTGTTTAATATTGAGTGAATAATAAGGATAAACGATACACGGAGGCACTAGGGTGATGTTTCCGAACTCAGCCGCAGTCGTAATGGCTGCTTGATGTCAACTTATTGATTTCCGGCGAAATTTTTCATTATAAAGCAATGTATGGAAATTAAATCAGAACATTCAGAATGCGGTTTGTAAACACTGAAGTAAATCTTTACGTCGCATACGACACGTAGAAGCCAATAAGTCAGTTATGATACTAACATTCAAAATTGTTATATAGTATCTTAAAAACGGTTGAGTATTCGACTTGTTTTTTCTAAGGCATTTTTATTCAGTATGGTGTGTACTATTTATCATATAAATGTTTTCAATAGTTTTTTTTAACATCTTGTATAATCAAACATAACGCGTTTTTTCTAAAAGCGACTCATCTGGAGGAAACAAAGGCATTCATGACGCTGTCATGGGGTATGCACTATTATTCATTGCATAACAAATCATTTTACTGAAAGGCACCAATTATTAATGAGTCCTTGGTCAGCGGTACAACATATATGTATCCTACAGGTAATGATAATACTTGTATGTGAGGCATATTCCTATACAGATAGCGACAACGGTACTTGTACCATTAATGCTATGTCCAGCTTGCTCCGCAATTGAGCTTATTGTTGTACCAAGAGGACAAAGCATTAATACACGAGGACCATTGCTGCATGTTATAAATTGAATATATTAAATAGCGAATAAAGAAAGAAAGAAACGGGGGAAGAACAAAAGAGATATTAATTATTTGTTAAAATATAAATTAATACAATACAGTAAAATAAATATTAAATGATAAAAAGACACATGATAATGAAATATATAATGTAATTTATTGTAAAAATGTAATTGTAATATAAGAAACAATGTTAAATATAACGATTATAGTATATAATAATAAAATAATAAAATAAGATAATAAATTAATATTATTGTAAATTAAAAGTATTCATAAAGATCTTATAAATGATCGAATAATCAAACTCTTAATATCAAAAAAAGAAGTTACAGGTTTCTCTACCTCGCTTGATGAGATATTGTTTTTCTTTGATTTACAGTATAACATAAAAAAAAGGGAGGAGGTGCAAGAGATGCCACAAGAAGAGCCTAATCCTCTGATGCGAAAGAAGAAGACACCAGAGGAATTGGCGGCCGAAGCTGAAGCCGAAGACGAAGATGATTTCACTAGTATGTAGTGTTTATAATATTACTTCGATATGTATCAATACAAGATATTTTAAATCCATCCAAGATATTTTAAATCCATTCCTTGAATTAGCTTCGACTTGCAACTTTTTATACAATTTTAAACCTAACTTCTTTTAACGAAAATGGAGACTTCAATAAATTTTGAATTATGATTAAGAATAAAAAAATTGTTTATTATCAATCAATTATATTTATTTTCAATCATAAAAATTTAATCTCAAGTTAAAACCATATAAATAGATCTAAATACATAAATTGCCCACCTTGTAAAAAATAAAAGAGAGAAATTAACTTATCTCAGAAAAAGATAAAATCATTGATAATAGTCATTTTTAAGAAGTTCAAAATTGCCAATATTATCAACTATGAAATATTTCTTAGAATATTGATATATTAATTCTAAACTTGGGAAAGTATATATAGTATGGACTCACAAAATATCATGTTTGGTTAAAAAATGTGACAAGTCTTCTAATTTTGTAAACATGAATTAATGTAATTATTTTCTATAATATATCACTATTTATATACATATATATAAGAGAACATTGAATCGTGTTTCTGTTAATATATATAGTAGTTTAAAGAACAAGCTAAGTCCTTAGGGAAATTACTCTAAATCCATAACACTAGAGAGATTCAGAGACATCTGCTAGCTGCCCGAATATATTTGGACTCATATATGTGTATACAAATATATATACATACATACATATATACATATGTACGTACATATGCATATGATAATGACAAGTAAAACTAACTATGTATATATACATGTGTGTATATGTATATAGTTAATTAATTTGTCTTTTATCATATTACGCATACACATACATACACACCCACACACACATACACATGTATACACATGTAAGATGGCACATATAAACAAAATTATTTTATCATATCTTTATTAGATCTTTATTGAATCTTAGAAATTAGTTAGAACTCTTAGATATTAGTTCTAATTGTAAGACTCAGTAAAAATTAATTCTATTTTATTTATTAAAGCTGTAAAGCGGAATGTGCAGTGATACTTTCTTAACTGCAGAAATATTTTATTTAATTGTTCTCTCTTATCTAATTTTTCATACTAACAGTATCAACTTATTCATTTTCACATATTTAGTTTATAAGAACATAAGTGTAAATATAGACATAAGTGTAAATTAACATTAGGCAAAAAAGGCTTTCTGTGTAATTATCTTTAAGAGAAAGATAAAATTTAAAAAATAAAAACTTATTTTTTATAAAAATTAAAGGTTTTACAAAAAGATTACAATTTTTTTTAAACGAATAACTTTGTTAGATATGGATTTTTAGACATCTATTAGCTAGGATAATCCTAACAGACATTTTTTCCTTTTTTTGACACTCTTTTTGTTTTTCTTTTTTTTATATCTTATATTTTTCTTTACAAAAAATTTTCATTTTCAATTATAAATTTTCATAAATTTTGTATATTTTTCTCTTATTATCTTTTTGCTCTTATTATTTTTTGGTTATTAAACACATTCTCATTTTGACTGTTTCAGAACTGAGAAATACGATAGAAACGCAAGTGAACGAGATCAAATCGCAAATTGAAAGTAAGTGCAATCTTCAATGAGCCTATTGCATCGCGCGGTTCACGAGAAAGATGACAACGATATCATACGTCGTCGTCGGACTCGTGTCCGCCCTGCTGCCCACAGGAATAAAGGAGGAAAGAGTAGCGGAAGAGATAACGAAGCAACGAGAAAAAGGAAAACTGATACGTAGAATCACCTGCAACTTTGGAACGCCATCGTCGTGTCGATCAATCGGAGATCAATTCCAACAGTCGATTGGTCGGTTGTTGCTTAAAGCAAAGTGAACGACGAGAATGAGCCAGAAGATATATCCCAAGGATTTTTAAAGGATTCCTAAAGGATTTTTCATTATACCGTCACACATTTAGATGCAACTTCGAAAATCGAAAAGATCCTGTCGAGGATTTATTCTGCATGAGATTTTTCAAATTAGAAATTAAAGAAGAATATTTTTTATGCAAAGAAACGTTAATCGGATTACTTATAAAAAAAATTGAATGATATGAAATATCGAAAGTGATAAATTCATGCAAGCTATAAGAAATTAGAAAATAGAAGTCGAAAACTGGGAAAAGATGTGATTTTTTATTAAAATCTCTGATAACACACAAGAAATTGGTATTGATAACTGGAATTAAAATGTGATTACTAATTGAACATATAAAACTAAATTTAATTTTTTGAAAAAAATTTTTAAGAAATTTTAAAATTCAACTATATCGATGCTGATAATTTATTGGTAATTCCAGTAAACCATCCATTAGGAAAGAACCCCGTAACAATAAAACTACAACTTAAAATAAATATATATTATAAATATTTCAAGAAAAATATTAACTAAATAAACAATGGAGCATATTGTTATATTTATATAATAAATGGAAACAATCGGAGAACAAAATAAATCAACAGAATAAAGAAAATTGAAAGATGATGCTTCTTGAGAAAATATAAAGACCAATTCTCTCGATTTTTGTACAACCAGATATAAACTTTAGTTTAGAATCTATGAATTTGGAAGAAATTCTCGACAGATATCCTGAAGTTTTTCAGCGCAAAATGAAGAAACCCAGACATTGACGATATTGAAGAAAAATAAAATTAATTATCAAAATATCAACACAATAATCTTGAAGAGAAGCACGAAACAGAAAGATAGGCACAATTAGTATATGTTTTTAGAAAGAATGAGGATCAAGTAACTAAATATCGCGGAGAAGAATTAGAAATCCAAAAATCTAATCTCATTTCATTCGGAAGTAAACAAATAAAAGAATATGTGTAAAAACTAAAAGGAGAGATGACTGAAATATTATCGATCGTCGATGGTGTTTGTGAAGGGAAATTTTAGGGGGTAAAAACGACGTAGACGACGATGAAGACAAAAAAAAAGAAAAGAGAGAGAATGCTGACTCGACCAGAGTGTGATTTTTTTATGTAATTGTTGCAATTAAAACGAAGTGTGAAGTGATGTTGTGTTTTATATAGGATAATTAGGTGTTCTGTAGAATGTGTTTAGCTGTAGTATAGTTTACAAATCAATTATCTGGTATGACGAGTGTAGTATCCAACTGTGGATACTGAGTTATTTTCTATTTATAGTTCGTCTAGGTATTATCTATAGTTATATGGAGAATTTTTGGCGCAATTTGGTGATTTGAAAATCAACTGTTGATTATTAGAGGAAACTAACGATTCACTCTTTAATTATTACTAGTATTAATGATTTGTTTATTTTGATATTTTGTGGAATATTTAGTTATTCTGTATTTCTTAAGATCGTGTACTGCGAACATTTCAGACATGTTAATTGATTCTCGGATAGGGATATAGGAAGTTTCTTACAATATTTCTCTGGTAGGAAATTTGTGGAAGTTCTCAGAAGTTTTTTAAAGAATCGTCGAAGCTTTTAAAGTTTTGTATTCGACAATTATTCGGCATAGTAGATATATCTAATAAACCGTGATAACCGTAATATCACTTTTGTGATCTCATGGTTGCCGTACGATTACAGCTTCTGCACGAAACTGACTACGAAGTAACAAGCGTGATTTATGCGGTGATCAATTAGCTTATTTATTTTTCTGGAAATAAAAGCGCACGGAAAGTGATCGGCTTCTTGCTGCGTGTGCAATTATATTGTTGCGCTCTGTGTGCAAGTCGGTTAGATGTAATCGGTTATCAAATGGGAAACTTCGGAAACAGTTGAATATTCAAACATGGACCTCGAAACTTCCCTATTAGGTGGTCAATTAACAGCTCCAAAGCTCCAATGAATGCGTCGTAGTACAGAAACTGTACTATGCTTTATATTGCTGCACTTACAGTCTAACTAACTTTATTTTAATTGCTATCCTTTTCTATCACACTTATAAACTTATTTCTTCTTATTTTAAATGTTGCTGCTTTTGACTGTAAAACTATGGGTTGCTAGCTATATAAACTTTTTTAATCATGACGTAAAAGGCAAGTTATAACATTGTGCATAATAAACTTAGTAATTTAACTAAAAATTTGTCTAAAAACTGCAAGATTATAATATGAAATTAATTATATAAGAGAAAAATACAAAATTACAGTCCTTAAAAAAAAAATGGTACAAAAAGAACATAAAAATCAATGAGCGGATATTTGAGAGTGAAACTATTGATAAAAATTTAAAAGCAACAATTTTAAAAAATAATCTAATTCTGTCACCGATTAATCTCTGTTAACTATCTTATATCGCCGATGCTAACGTAATCATACTGATTTTTACTATTTGTAGGCAATGTCCAGTTTATATCTACTGTTGTTACACACATACACACACAGTTATTATATCACTATTATTATAATATATAGATACTATCTATTATTGTATTCACTATAGCTTCACAACAACATTACATTTTGTCTTTTCATTTATACAAGTGAAATATAATGCATTAAATAGACAAAACGTGCAACAAACATATCAAAGTTGAATAAGTATATTCACGCATCTAGTACGTTTAAGTTCATAATTTATTAATAATAAATTATAAATAATTTAAATCCATTAATCTGACTTTACCTAAAATTGACGGAAATAGTTGTGACAGTAGAATGAAGATGATAATATAATATTTGCTAACGAAAAAAATTTCTTTATTGCGTTACTGATATATTTTAATTCTTCGCTAGCACTCGATGTTTTATAGTTGAACGCTAATCTCTTTTCTTAAAAATAAAAATTTAATTATACATAACGCCGCGCTATCTGGTCGCGCAGCATACGACTCTCGAGATAGATATACACTTACAGATATCATATGCTCGAAAACGCAAGGTACACAGGGCGGGATATTTCTCTCGCTCGTTACAAACAATAAAATTTATATATATATAAATATAAATTATATATATACATAGATATAAACATAAATGAAAAAAAAAGATGAAAGAAGTAAAAAAAAGAAACGCATGTTAGCGCGTTAAGTTTTTAGGAAAGATTTTTCGAATAATGAAAAAAATAATAACAAATGTAGCTGAGTTATGTAGTTGATAGAAATTCGTTTGATGACTGTTTTAACATACTAAGGAGAGAAACGAGAGAGAAGACAGAGGTGAGAATTTCTTATTATTATTATTATCGTTATTATTAGTAACGCTATTATTATTAAAAATTTGTACTAAAAGGTGAACACATGGAACGTAACGGCAAAATCGTCATGAATGACTAATGTTAATTGCTAGTTCTCGCTCAACCATTTATCTAAAAATTAAATGAGATTACTAATTTAAAAAGACAAATAGTGCAATAATAAAAAATATAACAAACACATCTGCAAACAAAACATCAATATAAACATTTTATTAAACTTAGGAAATATATAGAAGAAAAGAGGATCAATATGAGTTATTTATGAAATAATTAGATTATTTGCCTTTTTGTGTTGTTTTCTTTTAAATTTTTAAAATTATTAATACTGATCTCTCTATTTTTGAATATTTTTCATCCAACATTATGAAAATTTAACATTATGAAAGAATAATTGTTATTTAAATAAGTATCTTATTTCGAGGTTATTGTGTTAAATCTAGAGAGTATATTACTCATTTATTCATTAGAAGTTTATTATTTGTTTTGTTGTTATTATTAAGATTTTAAAATATATTTTTATACTTCAAAACAAATTTTAAGTTTTCTTTGTTACTACATTCTTAAGATTTTCGAATATTATATTATTTATATTTATTTTAAATACAAATAATAAATTTTAAATTTGTCTTGTTCTAACTAATTCTATTTTTATACAGAATATTTCACATATAATTTTTTAATTATCTATAATAACACACATATATATGAAAATTGGTATGCCATAAAAAATAAAAGCACAGTAAAAAAGTGAGAGGGAAAAAGACATTTAATATATTGTAGAACCATTTTTGTACGGAAAACAGAGGAACGAAAAGTATTTTTGTTATTTGAATATGTTAAATTTATATATATACACTCTTTATCCTTGAATTGCAAGGGGTAATAATAAAAAATGAATTAATAGTACATTCAATCCGTAAACAATAAATAAGAAATTGATAATAAAGCGATAATTTAATTTTGTCGCTGACAGAGTGGGGTCAAAATAATTTAACGATAGAATATTATAGTATTTATATGCTTGTTTTTTTAAACTAATTTTATTTATTAGTTTACTTTATTAATTTCATAAATATTTTTCTAATTTTCTTTACTAAAAAGCTTGATAGCTGTAACTTATATACAACAAATTCTTAATATATTTTTATTACGACTTAAAATTAATAATAAAAATACTTTATTCGGTTAAATAAATTTTTGTCTAATAAATTGGATTTCAAAGTATGAAAGACTGAAGTTTAATAACAAAGTTAGTGTGCATGGAAAAACAATTGCGGCTCAATTGGGGACGTCACTCTATAGGTTTACAATTAAATAATCATGAAATTATTATTCTAGAAATATCACTTCTTCAAATCTGTTCACTTTCTATCTCTCTTTTAAACTCATCTTTAGTCTTACTCCCTTTACTGCTATTAATATTA